CCTCCGGGTTCAAGCAATTCTCTTGCTTCAGCCTTCTGAGTAACTGGGATTACAGGCGCATGCTGTCACGCCTGGCTAATTTTTTGTATTTTAGTAGAGACGGGGTTTCACCGTGTTGCCTAGGCTGGTTTTGAACTCCTGAGCTCAGGGCATCCCCCTGCCTTGGCCTCCCAAAGTGCGAGAATTATAGGCGTGAACCACCTCACCCAGCTTCCTAAAAAAAATTTTTTTTTTCATATAAAAGTTTTTAGTTTATTAAGCTTCTCGTGAAAAATCCACAACGGCCATAGATAACGTCATTGCAGCACCTTTACTCCTTCGGCTGTGATCCAGTCTCCAGCTTACTTTTTGCCAGCGCCAACATTGGCCTTTGCAGTCCCCCTGACTTTCTTCATTCTGTTCTTGTGTTCCTTTCGTTGCTTTCTTGAGGTCTTTTTCTTCTCATACTGGCCATGTCTTGCAAGTCTATGCTTGGGTTCATTTTTCTTTGCATAATCCAGAGAATCATAAATCATGACAAAGCTAGTTGTCTTGCCACCACCAAAATGAGTTCTGAATCCAAAGATGACATCCAGTGTGGTCTTGTACATTTTGGCTAGGTTTTCCCGAATTTCCGTCTTAGGCACTGTTGCCTTCCCGCGGTGAAGGACATCAATGACCATTTGTTTCCTCTGAAGTAGTCGGTTGGTCATGAACTTTCTAGTGCGGATAGTTACTGTGTCGTTCATGATGGCAGCCTATCCTTAGACAGCCGGGGAGGAAAAGCCCTAAACATTTTTATAATGAGTCTGCAATGCTTTTGTAATAAGGTAACAACAATAACAACAACAAAAAACTTCATCTAGAACAAAACCAGATAACTCCTGCTTAGCCCAAGGGAAATTACAATCGTGGGAACACTCTGACTTCCTCTTATTTACACCCAAATTGTATAAAACTAGTATAACCACCATAGCTACATACCTTCTGGCTAGCTCCTCTGGCATTCGCTTTGGAACCAAGGCTTTGTCCAGCTGAATTTCTAACACAATGTATGTCCTTGCTTCTATGTATTGCTGTAAAGGCATTGTTTTTTTATTAATTATTTCCAGAAAAAAATATTTATGAAAAATTTACTAACATAAGATGATGCTCACAACATAATAAGTCAGAAAACTCCATATATAACTACATAAACAGGACTTCACAATACTTTCCCAGGAACTGTTTTGAGTGAATGCTGTTCTTTCTTCCAGCAACCTTCTTTCAGGTGGGTCCTGCAGAAATACTCTCTTCCTTCTTATATTTCCACTCACAGTCTCCTCACTACAAGTTACCAACTCCAACTGCTAGACAAATCTACCCAGATTTTTGCCAGTATCCTAAATACAACATGTCCAAACTTGAATTTATTATTTCCCCAATGTCAATCTCTCTTTTGACTTTTCTCTTAGTGGTGTTGCCATCCTTCCCAAAAGTGAGGCTTGCAACTTGAGTTATCTCTAACTTTTCTTCATCAGTACTCCCAAAGCTTCCCAATTGCTAACTCCTTGCCTCTGCATGTTTCTGACTTTCTTTACTACAACCTCTGTCCTAAATAAAACTGTCATCAACGCTCATCTATACTATAAGAAAAGCTTGCAGTCCTACCCTACCTTCAGTCTCTTTTTTTTTACACCCTTGCAAGAATTCCTGAAACACACATGAGGTCTTATTTCTATGTGACTTTAAAACCTTTGATGTGAATCTCAAAGAAGAGGTTCCAGAATCCCTCATCAGCTATGCAATAAAGTCCAAACTTTTAAAGAAGCCTTTCAAGTCTTTCCATTACCTGATTCAGCCTCTCTCGTCTTTCCTACCTCTTTATAAAATCTCTCCTTTAACTACTCTGTATATCATACACTGTAATGAATTGACACACTATAAATGCTGCTCTTGCATATTCTCTGTGTTGTTCTCTCTCAAGTTGTTCCCAAGCTCTGAAATGCCTCTCCCTCCATCTTCATCTGGCAAACAGGTCTCTTCATCTTTCATTACTTAGTATGGATATCACCTTCTTCATGAAACCTTCCCTGAGACTGCCCCATCCTAATCTTTGTCTCCTCAGAGCCCATACAGAACTTTTACTGGTACCTCTATTACAGCACTCATCAAAATTTTATACTATGGTTAGTTATGTACTTGTCTGTTTCTCCTGCCAGATGCTGAGTTTTCTGAAGGCAGATGAATAAATGCTGCAGATGATACATCTTTGCATCCCTTATAATGTTTAACATAGTAGAATTAATAAAATACATAAAATTTTAATGCTGGAAAGGACCTTTTTTTTTTTTTTTTTTTTTTGAGATGGAGTTTCACTCTAATTACCCAGGCT